GAAGGTTCCTACATAGATTAAAGAATATTTCACTAGAGAAAAGTAAACAATAAAATGCATGATGGTTCCACATATAATAGGAAATAGTTATTAGAATCTGAGTTTGAGCTAATAAAGACAGTGAGGAAACTGAGAGTATAGAAAAGCCATACCCTTGTTTTAATTTTTCTTCAAGCATTTCATATGCTGGCCTTATTCCATGGCTTGATATTAGTTTACGAATGTGGTAAAGTGTAAGCAGTGTTCCAAAGAAACCTTCAATATCTCCAGGCTTAATTTGGGAGACGTCTGGAGGTGCTTGACGAAATTTCTCTCTTGAATTAAGTAATAGACAAGGGCTTAACTGTAACAACACCCCCCCAACCCAAAGAAAAAGGAGTGAGATTATGTGGACCCAGAAAGTATGTAATTGTTTCAGTAAGAATTAAACAGAAAAAGAAATAATAAATAGAAAGATAAGGTAATAAATTTTCATTAGTAAATGAAATTGGTTATCTATACAGTGGCTTGTCTATTCCTTAAAACTAGAGGAAAAACAAAGGGAGAAGTTACTAGAAAAACTTACAACCATCCCTTTTTTACCATGTCTGATGGAATCGCCAGAACAGAATAAAAATGCAAAGAAACAATCCCATCCAGCACAGTTTTCCTAGAGCAAACTAGAAGAATTCAAATTATACTGAACCATACATTCTGAATGTCTCGAGTTGGGAGAACTCCAATAGCACAAAGCCTGGATGCAAATGGATGCATTGCTTCCAAGAGCTCATTGTCTATCTCAACAGCAGCTTGACCCATTGCAACCTAGAAATATTGCAACAAAAGTGTTTTCCTCTGTACAAAAAAATTCAGCAAACAAGAGATTACAATGCATACCTGAATCAACTCTACGTCCCTGTTGTGGACATATGGTTTGACATCAGGGTCATCTTCATTGCGATATTGAAGTGTTGATATATATAAGTTATCAATAACTTGCTGGACAGTCTGCTGCTTTGCTGTACAAGTGCATGTAGTTCAGGATCCTCTAAACGAAATTTAGTAGAAACCCAGTATGTTAGCAACTTACATCCCGGTGTTGCACTCAAAGCTAAAATTCGCAGTTGCACTTGTTCAGCCATTAACTATAAAAATTAAATTATCATTAGTATTTAAAACCATTAACTTTGTCCAATAATAACACACCGAGCCAACACTTATAAGGGTAGCAATACAAGAACATTAGTGGCGATAGTGACACCACACTCTGAACCACTACACGTGCAAAGGATGATCAGACATAGTTTACAGATCAGAAATCAACAGAACATACCTCACGAACTGCAACACTGTAAGAATAGTTTCCTAATGCTCGGTGAGCTTCATCAATCACCAAACATACCAGGTATTCTACTGCACATGTGCCTGCAACGAATTACCCCTGATCAAAATCCAGCGACAAAAGATCTTTCTCAAAAGGAAAAAAATCTATATATTTATTTGCATAAAAATGGTGTTGGAATATACTTATTTTCTAGTGTGGACAATTTCAGATTTTAGAATATAACAAATGAAAATATCAAATTTCTAAAGCTTTTCATTAGATAATCCTAGTGTATTAGTTCAAGAATTAATCACCAGACTGAATGTCCTTCTCCAGCACTTGTGGAGTAACAAAAAAAACTCGTTTAGTTTTCCACAAGCAAGCTCTTTTAGTAGGACTTGTCTGACCTGTCATATCAATTGTCCATTCCTGCAATCAGTTTGATCAGAATCTTCTTATAATTCCTAAGTGAATAAAATTGTTAAGAAACCACCAAATTTTGAACAATGTCCACTGCTTACAAGTAAATGGGGTTCTTACCTGTGGTATTCCTACAATATTATGACACGCTTGTATTTGTTGCACAACAAGTGGTCGAGAAGGAGCAGCAAAGACTATTTTTCCTGTTGTGGGAAGAACAATGTCCATGTATCATAACTAATGAAAACAAACTTGAAAAGCCAACAGCAAAAGAAACTGAACAGAAATGAGGATGAATTGACATGAGAACGTGAAGAAATCATAATAGGAACAAGTTCGAGTAGGGCATAGCCTAAAGTGTCTAATTGTCTGCAATAGGATGAAGTTGGTTCATACTATAATTAAAAGAATTCAGAATAATCAAACAAAAAAAATTAAGAATCCAGAATCAGAACACGTATAATAAACAATTGGTGAAGAAGCATGGTACAAGTTACTTTACCATTAGGGAACCATCTGAAATAGTTATACATAACAACTGCAGCAATTAGCGTTTTCCCAAGTCCAGTTGGCAGTACCACCAATGTATTTGAAAATAATGCCGTCTGGGTAATAGAAAATTGATAATCACGCCGAGGAAAATTAACTGCAATAAGGAATAAGAGTCTGAAGATAAGTTTAACGTTTTCTACACTTAACAATAAACAGAAAAAATGAGACAAGAAGAACCCTTTCCAAGCATTAATATCAAAAAAAGTGAGATCATAAGTTCACAATCTCAATCTCTGCACACGTACTCACATTTTCCCTAAAAGGTCCCGTGCATTTGAACCCACATTAGCTCAATAACACAACCCACTAGCAAAATTTATACTTTGATAAAAATGTGATTGAAAATCTAGCATCCGGGGCAATACACCATCTAGTTCATTCAGCTAGAGCTACACAAAATAATCAAATTCCAACTTCAGTCTCCAAACCCCATATCAGAAAGTAAAAAATAAGAACAGTTTCCCCTTTCCTGAATACCCAAAATCCAAACTTCCACGGAGTTGCGAAAATAATTGCAGAGAGAAGATGACTCTAACCTGGGTACATCCAAGTTTTAGCTGCCTCAGCATCAATTGGAACACAGGACACTCTCCCATCACCCTCACTACAATCCAGGTTTCGTTCTTCGACGTCTCGAATCCCTGGCGGAGGCCTTCCCATGAACTTGTCGAGGGTGCTCTGCCGGGAAGTGCCGGCCTTCTTCTTGTTGCCAGGGATCGGGGCAATCGGATTTTGCACTGGGGTGTTAATGTTACTGGGAGGAGGGGCAAAATGGGAAGATTGATCTGAAGTAGAGGAGGGCCTTGAAGCCTGGGTCTGGTAAACCACGTCGATTTCTTTCGCCGCCGCTTCCCAATCAAAATCATCGTCGTCGTCGTCGATGACTCGGTGAGGATTGGTGGAAGTCATTAGAGAACGAACGGGGTGAGGACAGAGAAATGTGAATCGATAAACCCTTGGAGAGAGAGAGCGTTTTGGCGGCAAAACTTGAAGAATTCGCGTTGCCCAGCACCCTGCTATATGTGGGCTTTCGTTGTCGTTGCTACTGGACTTAAGCCCATCTCCAACCGAAAAGCATAGGGCTCGTTAACCATGTCATAAAAACTCATCTCTAATCGAAAACCAAATGATCAAACATAATTTATTATTTAAAAATTACAATTTAAATTCAAATTCAAATTACTAACTAATCTAACATTTAACTTACTAAAGCTATCGTTTCACTAAAAAATAAAAATACAATGGCTAAGTATTGTAAAAAACTACAACATAATTTATTATTTAGAAACAACAACTTAAATTAAATTCAAATTTTGTAAAATAGAAGTTATAGGAAAAAAATATAAAACAAATTTTGTAAAATAGAAGTTATAGGAAGTTATAAAAAAAAATAGAAGTTATAGGAAAAAAATTGTGTAAACTTTTTTTTTTTTTTAAACTGCAAAAAAAATTCAAAAATAACGGCTAGCTGACATCAGCTAGCCGTTGCATTTGAAATTTGGCCTAGAATTCCTGTTGGTTATATCCAACAGGAATGCTAAAATTTATGGCCCAGCTGAGGGTTGGATTGGGCGAGCCCTCTGGCCCTTTGGCCCTTTTAGATTTTGTGGGGCCCACGAGCCCTCTGGCCTAACCCTCATTTGGGGAGGGTTTTAGGGCTATTTTCGGCCTTCTGCCCATCTGAACCCTTCGGTTAGAGATGACCTAACTAAATAAAATGAGAACATTGCACAAGCCCATACATATGAATCTATTTGGAAAGACTTTCAAATGAGTTTTTGAATACTAACGTGTATTTAATAAAATCATTATCTTATTGGTTAAATAATAATTATATTAAATATGTATATTTACAAGAATTATATTTGACTGTCAGATAATAATTGTAGTTTAATTTGTCTTTTTATGTAGTGTCTTTGTAGCTTTATTTTCCCGTTGATTACGTGTTTATAATGTATTTAGGATGGTGTTACCACACCCCTCTTTTTACCTCCCATGCATACCTGTTAATTTATGTCTGTTGATATTCTTCAATTCATTTCATATAGCAGCTGAAAGTTGAGAGGAGTATTTGAAAGGTAAAGAGATGTGTGTGTATTTATAGTCCTTTAGTAATAGTTTTATATTGTTTAACATAAAATTAAATTTTTTTTTGTAGATTTATTACCCTACCCATGATAATCTTCAAGCTTTCATGTTCACTTGCATTTTTTATTGTTGAAACAAAATGAACTTTGAATAAACCATTAGGCTTTCAATATTTGTTATGGTGAGTTTGATTTTCTCTATATATATATATATATATATATATATATGAATGAGAACTATTTGACTGGTTGTCTGATTCATATAATCTTAATGTTAAGTATTTTACGATGGCTTAAGTAAGTGTGATGTCTATATATAAGAATCGATGAGTTTGATTTGTATTAAACTATTATCAGAGTACATTGAGTATGATAAAGGCGAATGTTGCATATTAAATACACAACCCGTCTATTTTTTTAGTTTATATATTTTAGAATGGGAAGTGTTATTGGTACTTCAAAAATTTTATTCTACACTCCTTACAAATGCATTTTTTTTTCCTAATATAAACAATTTAGAATATAGAATAAGATTTTTGAAGTGTTAATAACAATTGTTTTCGTTTGTGGTTTGAGAGTGAAACCGGACCGAATGCACCGTGCCCACCTTAAATCTCATCCCTTTTGACTGTTGGATGAGTAGGCAACGACCGGCTTTAAACCTCAATAAAACCCAAACTCTTGTCCCACTTCACAGTCCCCGCCGTCCTGCAACGTATAAAGCCTCAATTGTCCAGCGAATCCCACCCGCGCGATAGCTGAATTCTGCGAGTTGTTGGGTCTGCTGGGTTGCCATCTTCAGTCGGCCTCAGCCTCTCTTTTCTCTGCGCTCCGCCCCTCCAGATTCTTCATGTTGCATTTTCAGACTGTGCTTCCTAATCTCCACCGCCACCGCCGCCACGGTTTCATCTTCTCCGTCTTGCTCTAGGTATTGTTCGTTCCTATTGTATTGTATTTATGGTTTTCGTTAATATTTAACTGTTTTGTTTCCTGGAAAGAGAAAAAGAATAATTGAAAATACTTGGATTGTTAATTTTGGAAACTTGCAAATAAATTTTCGATTTTGTTGTGATTACTAGTATTAATTGAAATCAATATGCTTTTGTATGTGGTTTATTTGTTTAATTGTTTGTTTGATTTCTTACTTTGAATTTACGGATTTGTTTTTAAGGTGATTATTGTAGGATGCTGCTTGTTTTTGGGTTGGTAGCTGTCTAGCATCCTCATCTTTTGATACTTGAAAGTACAACAGTAGGAGGTTTGGATTGTTTCGTCGTCTCTTTCTCTTTCCCCTTTGGATTATAAAGAACAAAACAAAACCTACTTGATTTAAAATAACCAAACTTCAGCAGTGAGAAACAGATTTTATTTCTAAGTTCTCACGTTTTACGTGCAAATTAATGTCCCGTGGAAATGATTTATCAAATCTGCAACTCTGTAGCTGTGCCCTAATTGTGCATTTTATTAAATAGAAATCAACCTTCTTTCCACTTTGTGAACTGGCGAGATAATCCTTTCCAGCAGAGAATAACAGTTAAGTAGCACTTTGTAAAGAACGCTTAAAATAAAATTACAACAACAACAACAACAACAAAGCCTTTTCCCACTAAGTGGGGTCGGCTATATGAATCCTAGAACGCCATTGCGCTCGGTTTTGTGTCATGTCCTCCGTTAGATCCAAGTACTCTAAGTCTTTTCTTAGAGTCTCTTCCAAAGTTTTCCTAGGTCTTCCTCTACCCCTTCGGCCCTGAACCTCTGTCCCGTAGTCACATCTTCGAACCGGAGCGTCAGTCGGCCTTCTTTGCACATGTCCAAATCACCGGAGCCGATTTTCTCTCATCTTTCCTACAATTTCGGCTACTCCTACTTTACCTCGGATATCCTCATTCCCAATCTTATCCTTTCTCGTGTGCCCACACATCCCACGAAGCATCCTCATCTCCGCTACACCCATTTTGTGTACGTGTTGATGCTTCACCGCCCAACATTCTGTGCCATACAACATCGCTGGCCTTATTGCCGTCCTATAAAATTTTCCCTTGAGCTTCAGTGGCCTACGACGGTCACACAACACGCCGGATGCGCTCTTACACTTCATCCATCCAGCTCGTATTCTATGGTTGAGATCTCCATCTAATTCTCCGTTCTCTTGCAAGATAGATCCTAGGTAGCGAAAACGGTCGCTTTTTGTGATCTTCGCTAGATTGCTCCGGTCATTAGTGTGGATAAGTATATAAATGGATAGAGATAGGAAAGCAAACACAAGATGTACGTGGTTCACCCAGATTGGCTACGTCCACGGAATAGAAGAGAGTTCTCATTAATTGTGAAGGGTTTACACAAGTACATAGGTTCAAGCTCTCCTTTAGTGAGTACAAGTGAATGATTTAGTACAAATGACATTAGGAAATATTGTGGGAGAATGATCTCGTAATCACGAAACTTCTAAGTATCGGAGTGTGGTGTCGTCTTGACTTGCCTTAATAGTCTCATAGGTAGATGTGGCATCTTCTCTGGAAGTACTTTTCCTCCATCCAGGGGTGGTATCTTTAACTGGTGGAGATGCACAAGGTAATGTATCAATTTCACTTGAAGCTTACTTGTAGTTTCAGGCTTGGTCAAGCGCGATACAAACCATGTAGTAGGAGTCCCCCAAGTCGCCGAGCTAGGGGGTCTGCTGAAAGAGGTGACAGACAAGGTAAGCAATCAGAGCTCCGACTGATTGTTCACCTTCTCCCCATCTTGCAACAGCATGAAGGATAAAGAGAAGAAAAAATGAGAAGAGATGATATGAGATACTTTTGCTTTTGAAGAAGTAACTTTCCACAGGCTTATTCTTGAACTGAGCTGGAGGGTTTTCTGGTTTCCTCCAGAGTATAAGGCCGACTGAAGAATTTGAGGGTCAAAACAAGTCCATCAAATCTAGAGTACGTTCCACCCTGCTGATATGGGATACTTTTGCTTTTGACAGAGTAATGGATGTATCGGCACGTGTGCTGTTACGCTTGTCTCCACATGCTTCCTTGTATCCTTCGCACTTGCCCTATCTGTTCCTCAAGCAGATGCGGAATCTTCCCTGGAAACATAAGATGTTGAAGATGAGTACTCGAGAGCAATGCCAGGTAAGTAATCAGGTAAGGGGTTCCAGGCAGTCAGTTCCTGGCTGGAAGCTTGATTCCAAGTGCTGACTGATTGCTCTCTTTTCTCCTTGTCTTACAGGTAAAAACAAGGCCAAAGGAAAAGACAGGGAAAAAGCATGATATGGGATACTCTTGCTTTTAACCCTGATGATATGAGATATTCTTGCTCTAGTATAGCTTGTTTGCAGAGGTATTATCGGGGGGAAAGAAAGCTGAATATTTCGAAAGGCTTCGTTGGGAGTGCCCTCTCAGATATGATGAAGGGTTGAGCATTTTTGCAGGTCTGCCTGTCCGTTGGGGATGGAGGTCGACATATATAGGAGTCTCCCTAACAACAAGTAGTAATGCTATTCCTTTACCCTGCTTGGTCATAGCACGGTAGTGGGAGCTGTCAGTTTCACATGTTTTAACTCTGTCAGAGCACTTTGAAAAAGTGGTCTGTGGTATCTGGCTCTCGAGATTCGGAGAACGATGCCTCTTCGATTTTTGAGAAAGCAATCATGCTGGGGGTCTGGCTCTCGAGATTCGGAGAGCAGTGTCTCTTCGATTTTTGAGGAAGTAATCATGTTGGGAGTCTGGCTCTCGAGATTCAGAGGGCGGTGCCTCTTCGATTTTGGAGCAAGCAATCTTGTTGGGAGTGTTGTCTCGAATGTAAGTAAAGGTTGGGCATGTTTGCTAGTCTACCTTGCCACGAAGCACAAAGGTTGACACACAGGGACTTTCCAATTATCCAGCAATGGTACTGTTCCTTTACCCTCTCTTCGATTTTGAGAAAGTAGTCATGTTGGGAGTCTGGCTCTCGAGATTCGGAGGACGGTGCCTCTTCGATTTTGGAGCAAGCAATCTTGTTGGGAGTGTTTTCTCGAATGTGAGTAAAGGTTGGGCATGTTTGCTAGTCTACCTTGCCACGAAGCACAGAGGTTGACACACAGGGACTTTCCAATTATCCAGCAGTGGTACTGTTCCTTTACCCTTGTGGGTAATAATATGGTAGCTAGACCTTCAAAATTTATGTGTCTAAACTTTGTTAGTGCTGTTTCTTTGCTATTCTTTTACCTTTCTTGGTCAGAGCGATTTAGTGGGAGCTGCAAGCTTCACGTGCTCAACTTTGGCAGAGAACTTTGGCAAAGTTATCTGTGGTACCCATGAGCTATTGTTGCGTGTGGGAAGTGGGTAATTGAACAGTAAGATTCATGTGCTTTCTACTTCACCAGAAATCTTCGACAGAATGCCCATAATTTCTGCAAAGCTGAGTGTGCGTGTGACAGGTGCTGACAAGGCTAGAAAAGTAGGTGCCTCTTCGATTTCTGAGATCGGCCCTCGTGGTCTCTGAGCAGCCCAGCTTTTGAGAAAGCGAGCGCCTCTTCGATTGATTCGGAGAACGATGCCTCATCGATTTTTGAGAAAGCAATCAGGCTGGGGGTCTGGCTCTCGAAGATTCGGGGAGCAGTGTCTCTTCGATTTTTGAGAAAGTAATCATGTTGGGAGTCTGGCTCTCGAGATTCGGAAGGGCGGTGCCTCTTCGATTTTGGAGCAAGCAATCTTGTTGGGAGTGTTTTCTCGAATGTGAGTAAAGGTTGGGTATGTTTGCTAGTCTACCTTGCCACGAAGCACAGAGGTTGACACACAGGGACTTTCCAATTATCCAGCAATGGTACTGTTCCTTTACCCTCTCTTCGATTTTTAAGAAAGTAGTCATGTTGGGAGTCTGGCTCTCGAGATTCGGAGGACGGTGCCTCTTCGATTTTGGAGCAAGCAATCTTATTGGGAGTGTTTTCTCGAATGTGAGTAAAGGTTGGGCATGTTTGCTAGTCTACCTTGCCACGAAGCACAGAGGTTGACACACAGGGACTTTCCAATTATCCAGCAGTGGTACTGTTCCTTTACCCTTGTGGGTAATAATATGGTAGCTAGACCTTCAAAATTTATGGGTCTAAACTTTGTTAGTGCTGTTTCTTTGCTATTCTTTTACCCTTCTTGGTCAGAGCGATGTAGTGGGAGCTGCAAGCTTCACGTGCTCAACTTTGGCAGAGAACTTTGGCAAAGTTATCTGTGGTACCCATGAGCTATTGTTGCGTGTGGGAAGTGGGTGATTGAACAGTAAGATTCATGTGTTTTCTACTTCCCCAGAAGTCTTCGACAGAATGCCCATAATTTCCGCAAAGCTGAGTGTGCGTGTGACAGGTGCTGACAAGGCTGGAAAAGTAGGTGCCTCTTCGATTTCTGAGATCGGCCCTCGTGGTCTCTGGGGAGCCCAGCTTTTGAGAAAGCGAGCGCCTCTTCGATTTCTGAGATCGGCCTTCGTGGTCTTTGAGCAGCCCCAACTTTTTGAGAAAGCAAACGCCTCTTCGATTTCTGAGATCAACCCTCGTGATCTCTAAGCAGCCCAGCTTTTTGAGAAAGCAAACGCCTCTTCGATTTCTGAGCAGGCGCCTCTTCGATTTCTGAAGCTCCGTCGAGTGCAGATTTTTATAGGGGCTGGCATTAAGTTCCAAAGCACACTTGAATCTCCACCAGTAGAAGCTTCATTCTTGCACTTCTAAGATCTTGATTTGTCCGACCTCTTCTCTCTTCAACACCTTTGAAAATGTCTGTCTGGCCCCTCCGACCGTCGTTTTGACTTGAACCTTGTTGAAGAGGCAGCCCCGCCTTCTCCAGACAACATATGGCGCCCATCCTTCGTCTCCCCTACTGGTCCTCTTACCGTTGGGGATTCCGTGATGAAGAATGATATGACCGCTGCGGTGGTGGCCAGGAACCTTCTCACTCCCAAAGATAACAGACTACT